TCGGGCGGACCCCCCCCAGAGCTCAGCCTCCGACCCCCCCCGCGGGCCCAGCGGGGCCTCCGAAGAGCCCCCCGACCAGGCCACCTACCTACGCCAGCGACGGAGACGGACAATGCCCACGCGGATCATCCCGATCGATCAGGCGCGAGCCTTTCGCGCATTTCCGCGGCTGCTAGCTGCTTACCTACCTGGCCGCGATCGAATCTCCACCCAGGAGGCGCTCCTCCCAGCAGTGGGGAACAAAGCGCCTCACCGGCAGCGAGGCAAGGCGTGGCGGGGCTCGGTGCCCTCCCGCCAAGGAGGCGCGCGCGCTCCGATCGCGAGGCCGATCGATCGGGCAGGTCTACTCCACGCCATTCTGGTGCTGTTAGATGCGTCCTAGCTGAGCCTCGATCTGATCTCTTCCTGGAGACGCATCTCCGGGCCACTCGCCGGCCTGTCGCCTGACCAGCTGCGAGGTGAGCGGGGTAGCTCCCCAGCCAGGAGGCGGGTCAGTTCGGAACGGTGGGGCCCCCCTCCGGGCCTCTACGCAGCCCCAGGTGGTGGGCCCCCCCGGGCCTGATCGAGCCCCCTGACAGACGGAGCAGACGGACCTGTGGAGCCGGGCCCCCTGCAGACACGCACTCGAACCAGCGGGCCCCCCCCCGGGCTCGCTGCAGCGAGGGGGTGCCCCCCCCGCTGGTCCGGGGGGGGCTGCGCCCCCAGATCTGTTTCGGAAATCGGCCCGAGCCCGCTCGGGGGCGAGGGCCCCTCGACGGGGCCGATCGACTCGCGAGCGGACGCTTCTCTCCTTCGCCCCTCCCCGGCCCCCTTCCCCTACCCCCTCCGTCGCGGCTCAAACCCTAACCGCGCTGCAGAGGAAGTTGCGCCAGATCAGCAGCCGCCTGGCCCCGGGAGGGCCACGCCGCATGAGCAAGACGACGGGGCAAGTCCCACCCCCCCTCGCGGGGGCGAAGGCGCGCCCACCGGGCCGAGAGCTAACGCCAGACCCCCGCCGGGCGCTGAGGCGCGCCAAACCAGGGGGGATGGCTACGCGCAAGACAGACAGGGCACGGATGCGGAGGGGCCAAACCTCCTCCACGGCCTGCCAGGGAGGATGCTCCATGCGGTCCTCGAACTAAGGACCCCCGCCGCGCAGGCCGGGGGGGGGGGGGCCTGGGCGCCCTTCTCGAGACAGCAGAGCGAGCAGGCGGCCCGTGGTTGGACGATTGGCGGGCCCGCTCACGCACTCCAGCGCAGCGGCGCAACTTCGAAACCCTCCTCCACAATGCCTGGGCGGGGCATCGCCCCCTCCGCGACTACGGAGGCCCGGGTCGCCCGCGGGGGGGTAGCGGACAAGACTTCGATATTGACGACGACCCGCGCGCTCAGCACGTAGCCAGTGCTCTGCTACCTCGACATCACAGGCCTTGCTTGGTCTGCCAACGGGCGCGACTACGAAGCAAGGATGGGGGGCGTCAAGCCTCGCCGCGCACAGCAGCTCGCCTTTAGACTCCTGGCGATCCTTTCTGACCCTGTCCTCAATGACTCGGGGGAGATCGACCTCTCTCCTTCTGACCTGCACGAAGCCTCCGCTGCCGAGATAGAGGCTGTCTCGGCGGAGTACGCTTTGGTAGAAGCCGCTGTCCACTGCGGCTTCCTTCCCTCGGATCAGCAGATACAGGAGCGAGCCCCCCTGCCTGCCCCCCCACTAGAGGCCATGCCGGCGCCCGAGGCCCGCTTTCAGCACCCTCACCCCTGGGGCCCGTGCACTGTCGCACGGGCGATTAAGATCCTCGTTGACGAACGCAGAGGAGTGGGCAGCATGCACCTCCCAGACCACGAGCATATAGCACGATGTGCCCGCCTCCACGGCGCAGAGCCATGTGCTGGACACGACGTCCAATCCCTCCCACAGTCCGGGGACGGACCCTTATCCTGGGCCACCCCAGTGGCCATCCCACCTCTCCCTCTCCACGGGAACGGCTCACCTCCCACGCGCCAGGGAATCCGCCCCCCAGCGACCGAGGGCTCTCCCAGCGCCCGCTGGCCGTGGAATCGCACGGCCAGACGACTCCAGATTGACTCCTTCTTCAGCCCTGGCCCTCAGTGCCGGTGGCGTGGCACGTGGGCGCTGCGGGAACCCGCGCTGGGGCTGCGCCCGGCTTGCCACCGTTTGGGGGACCCGTGGGGGACCCTAGGTGACCTCCGATCGAGTGGCGCCAGGCCTGCTCCGCTTCTCCCACTCGACAACCTGAGTCCCCTTCTCGTCAGGAAGCTGGCCAAGGCTGCTGACAGATAGCCCCCATACACAACCATGTGCACGGGGAAGAGGACGGGATTGTCGACCACGCAGCGACCTGGCGCATGACTGAGCTTCACGGAGCATGGAAGCACACGGTGGAGAACAGCGACAACATCAGCTTCGACCTCGACGTCACCCATCCCGCCCCCCCCCCACCAGGGAAGCGGGCGTGCACGCGGCCGCTAGCGCCTTATTCTGGCTCTGCGCCGCCCCTTTCGACTGGGCAGCAACGGCGTGCTCGGACATGCGATGCGCGCGCGTGGCGCAAAGCAGCGAGCTACGAGCCCCACCCGCTAACTCGGGGAATGCCCCAGGAGCGCAAACATGCTTACCAGTGCAAGCCCGTCTACTCGGGAGCCGGCCCCCCCCCCGGCGCAACGCGACTACCCCACTGGCAGTCCCGCCAGGGAACCAGGGCCCCAGGGGCCCTCCCCGTTGGCCGACGCGCTTCCAATGGATCCGGCAGCGAGTGGGCCCATCGGCACCCCGCACTGAGCCGCAATTCCATGGCCCAGCCACAACATACATTGAAGCGGAGACGATCGCAGCAACAGCCGTGGTCAATTCGTACGCCTCCCTCGCCAGGGGAGATGGCATGCGCCTCCTGGCGGAAAGACGGCACATGTCTGACCCCCTCGGAGTGGTCCTCGGGTGGGATGCGGCGCTCCAGATGCGAGCCTTGCAAACTCCAGTCCAGGAGGACACGCTGGGTCTGAACGACGCTCAGATGGACGACATCCAGGGAGATAGTACTTCAGACTCGGATCTGCCCTGGGCGCATCCCCCTCCCCCGCTAGGGCGTCCACGCTCAGTGGGCGCGCTGACCTCCCCATGGCCCTTCATCGCGGGGCCGACGCATTCATTGACAATGTCAGACGGGTTCGAGGACTGGTGGCCACCAGTGACATGCCACTGGGTGCACGTGGAGCCGCATCTTGGTCCCCTTCACATCGGAATCTGCCGCCGAGAACGGTGGGACTGCCCTCGCTGCCGCGTTCCGCGAGGTCCACCTCGACCCGGCGACCCTGGACGCTGCTCGGGAATCTTGGGCAGCAAGGGGTGCCGGAACAGCTGGGGATGCCTTCAGGATCATCGTGGACACGCAGGCGCAGCACAATCAACGGCGACCCCCTGGCACCGCCCCCGTTTCCGCACCGGTCCTGGGGGGTCATCTAGCACCGACGCTGCGGCGCGTGCTCAGCCACCAGGAGCCCGAGGAGATGGTGGCGAAGAATGCGGACGAGGAGGCCTGGCTCGGCAACGCGGCGGCTGACGCCGACGCGGAGCGCGGCGCCGCGCTCCATGAGCTGCCGCCCGCGCAGATGCGCATGTACGAATGGGCACGAGCGACGGCCTCGCTCGTATGGAAACGCCTCATCCGCGCCCATGTTGATGCTGTCGCTCGAGGCCCGTCGCCCCAGGAGATCCATGAGAAGTCGGAGTCAAGGAGAGCTAGGTCCCAGAGGATTCGTGAGCTGAGCCTGGCCCTTTCCACCTCTCCCCACAACCTCCTCCCCTCTCGTAGTAGATGGTAGTGTAGAGTCTGCAGCGAGGCAATCAGCAAACAATCTGGACTCCCGACCATTAAGCATTGGCTTAATATTTGCAAACCCCTGCCCTCTTAAGGATCTTAGGGCCCGTGGGAGCGGGGGGGTCAACATAGTGTCCAGATAGGTAATAGAGCTGTGCACCCTTCTCACACCATGGAGTATGCTGAGCATGCCTCCTTGTGGTGGTGCACAGTCTGTGGCCGTCGCGCCAAAGTGTCTGATATAAGTAATGTTAAGGGGCTCTTCGACCCCTGCGCACCCCCCACTAAGAATGGGAAGTGCGCGATATCACGCCTGTCTGGGGGTAAAGACATACCCCATTGACGCCCGTGCCCAGGTTTTCGGAATCCTTGGATCCCACGGGCCGCGCCGCTCTAGGGGGCCCAAGCGCTTCTGGGCCCCCGACACGGCGCACGCCTAAACGAAACTCGACACCGTCGTCGCCGAATTCTCCGAATTCTCCTCCTCCTCCTCCTCCTCCAGTATGACTGTTCCTCGGACGCTTGCCCAAGGCGTGCAACCGCCGCCGCTTTGCTGCTCCCGTGGGGTGGCCCACAGCGGAAGGACGCCCAGTTGAAGGAAACCCCCGGACATCCCAGGATACGACCTTTTCGCCCCGCACAGCTGGCACGAGCGCTGAGAGCAGCCCAGGCTTCGGATTGGGGCATCCTTAAAGTTGTGTTCTGCGCGTTTGGGCCCGCCACCAATCTTGCGAAAAAGTAAACGCACGAAGTCGAAAAACATGTACGTGGAATGGACGTCCGAGCGATGGCGGGGGGAGTGCTCGTCGTCTGGGGCATCCCCGTGGGAATCTGGGAGCCCTCTGCCGGGCTCGTGCTCGCGACCTGGGCTCTTGCGGCCACGCGTCGGCCGCGAGCCCCGGCCCCATCCTTTGGGAGGCGCGGCTCGTCGCCAGGGCCCAGCACCCGTGGTGACGGCCCCCCAGGGGGGCCGAGACGCAAAGGACAAGGGGCGGCGACGAGGAGGACGACGAGGACGGCGGCGGCGAGGTTCGGCGGCGACGGGGGGGGGCGAGGAAGACGAAAACACTGACGAAGCAGGAGGAGGAGGGAGGAGGCCCTCCTGCAGGACCAGGGAGCTCGACCCGCCCGAAGGAAGGGCCCCGCCCTCTCCCCCACGGCTCTCGGCCCAGCGGCCGGCTGACGGCGGCGGCTGGCCGCGGCCTCCGCTCGGGGAAATGTAGGGCTCGAGATCTCCAGTACTCAGGTGTGCCGGCGTTTTTTGACGGGCCCGTCTTGCATCTGGAGGGTCCAGCTCTCGCGGGATATCAGCACCGGGAGCTCGCGTCAAATTTCAGTTTGGGTCTCGTCGTTTCCCTGACTGCCCCGTCGGGTCAAGCCGCGTCCCCCGAACCCGAGGCTTACATCTCCCCGGTCCGCGCAGCCGAGCCCCGCCGCATGCCGCCCCGCCCGCGCCGCCCATGGGCGCCGCGGCGGGCGCTCGCCGAGGCCGGTACGAGGATGTGGACATCGGTGTGCACCCGGCCGAGGCGCTCTTCGCTCGGTCGAGGGCTCGACCCAGGCATGCTCGCGTCGTGGAAAAATCACGCCGGCAGGTTTTTGCCCGGTTTCGGCCTCAGGGGGCCTTCGTTAGTCCCTGGGGCTGTCAAAAGACGATTCGGGATGAAAAGCCGGCCCTGGGAAACGGGTCTTCCAGGGACTGCGTCTGGAAAAAATCGAGATCGGCTGCCTGGGGCAGACGGGCGCCATCCGGTCTTTTCGGCACGGGGCCCCCACGAAGTCCTTGGTGCCCTTTTCCCCATGGTCACCTTTCTGTAGATGCATGCCTGTTTGTATACACCTCCGTCTGTATACATGTGTGCATGTATGTATGTATGTATGTATATATATATATATATGTTGAATGTATGTATGTGTGTATGTATGTCTGTCTGCCTGTCTGTGTGTCTGTCTGTCTGTCTGTCTGTCTGTCTGTCTGTCTGTCTGTATGTATGTATGTATGTATGTATGTGTGTGTATGTATGTATGTGTGCATATGTATGTGTGTGCGTATGTGTATGTGTGTTTTTGTGTATGTGTGTATGCGTGTATGTGTGTATGTGTGTATGTGTGTATGTGTGTATGTGTATGTGTATGCATATGTAGATGTAGATGTAGATGTAGATGTAGATGTGCATGTACATGTACATGTATAGGTATATGTACATGTAAGTGTATATGAATATGTATATGCATCTGTATATGTATATGTATACGAATATGCATATGTATATGCATATATGTATATGTATATGTATAGGGACTTGTATATGTATATGTATATGTCTATATACATGTGCATATATGTGTATGTGTGTATGCGTGTATATATATAGATATATATGTATGTCTGAATATATATATATATATATATACATATACATATGTACCTACCTACCTACCTACCTACCTACCTACCTACCTACCTACCTACCTACCTACATACATACATACATACATACATACATACATACATACATACATACATACATATGTGTGTATATCGGAGTAGGCTAAAGGGGGGGGCCGGGCCGGTGCCGTCATCCCCCATGGGCGCTTCCCGGAACCTTTGGGGGGTCACAGAATCCCTGGGACTGCCCCGGGCCGTTTCCAAATTGCCCACGACAGGCCACGCGGGCCGTACAGGTGGTCAAGAAAGCCTCAAGCGGCCCCGGAGACGCCCAAGAGCGCCCCAAGAGGGCCCGAGATGGCTTGAAGATGGCCGAAGAGGGCCCCAAGAGGGCCTTCAAGAGGCAAACGTCGGCCCATTCCCCACGTCCAATATACATTTTCAGCATACTCGCTTGCTTCGTCTTCACAGTGCCCCAGACGCCCCCGCGGAGCCCCAAGACAGCCCAAGAGAGACCCAAGAGGGCCCAAGACGGCCCAGAAGAGTCGGCCTGTGGGGCTCACAGAACCCCCCGAGACGGCCAAGAAGCGCCAAAGCCGGCCCAGGAGGCCCCAAAGACGCCCTCAGGGAGGCCCAAGAGGGCCTCGTTCGAAATCATGTTCCCGGAAGCCTCTCCGGGAACATGATTTCGGGGTTCCGAGGACGCCCAAGAGGCCCACAAGACAGCCTCAGCGAGGCCCAAGAGGGCCCGAGATGGCTTGAAGATGGCCGAAGAGGGCTCCAAGAGGGCCTTCAAGAGGCAAACATCGGCCCATTCCCCATGTAAAATATACATTTTCAGCATACTCGCTTGCTTTGTCTTCACAGTGCCCCAGACGCCCCCGCGGAGCCCCAAGACAGCCCAAGAGAGACCCAAGAGGGCCCAAGACGGCCCAGAAGGGTCGGCTTGTGGGGCTCACAGAACTCCCCGAGACGGCCCAAGAAGCGCCAAAGCCGGCCCAGGAGGCCTCAAAGACGCCCTCAGGGAGGCCCAAGAGGGCCTCGTTCAAATTCATGTTCCCGGAAGCCTCTCCGGGAACATGATTTCGGGATTCCGAGGACGCCCAAGCGGCCCACAAGACAGCCTCAGCGAGGCCCAAGAGGGCCCGAGATGGCTTGAAGATGGCCGAAGAGGGCTCCAAGAGGGCCTTCAAGAGGCAAACATCGGCCCATTCCCCACGTCAAATATACATTTTCAGCATACTCGCTTGCTTCGTCTTCACAGTGCCCCAGACGCCCCCGCGGAGCCCCAAGACAGCCCCAGAGAGACCCAAGAGGGCCCAAGACGGCCCGAAAGGGTCGTCCTGTGGAGCTCACAGAACCCCCCAAGACGGTGCAAGAGGCCCCGAAGCCGGCCCAGGAGTCCCCCAAGACGGCCTCAGGGAGGCCCAAGAGAGCCTCGTTCGACATCATGTTCCCCGAAGCCTCTCCGGGAACATGACCTCTGGGCTCCCAGGACGCCCAAGAGGCCCACAAGGGCCCCAAGAGGGCCTTCAAGAGGCAAACATCAGCTTGTTCCCTTCGTAAAACGTGCATTTTCAGCATACTCTCTTGTTTCGTCTTCGCAGTGCCCCAGACGCCCCCGAGGAGCACAGCCCAAGAGAGACCCAAGAGGTCCCAAGACGGCCCAAAAGGGTCGTCCTGTGGGGCTGACGGAACCTCCCAAGACGGCCCAAAAGGCCCCAAAGCCGGCCCAGGAGGCCCCCAAGACGGCCTCCAGGAGGCCCAAGAGGGCCTCGTTCGAAATCATGTTCCCGGAAGCCTCTCGGGGAACATGATTTCCGGGTTCCCAGGACGCCCAAAGACAGCCCCCAGAGGCCCCGGACGTGCCGAAGATGGCCTCAGGACGGCTGACGACGCCGCCAAAACGCTCCAAGAGCGCCTCCAGAGAGGCTCCTCGAAAGGGCCCCAGAAGCTGAAAATGATTCTTGCGCTCTCCCATGTTCCGCCTCCCCACGGTCCCGGACCGCGTCAGAGGCCTTTCAGATCGCTCCAAGACGGCCGAAGAGGCTCCCAAGAAAACCCAAAGGCGGTCCAGGAGGCTCCCCAGATGATTCAAGAGGGCCTCGAGAGCGCCCCAAGAGAGCCCCAAGAGCGATCCAAGAGGGCCCGAAGAGCGCGACATTTCAAGGTCTCCGGCCTGAGAGAATCCTGGGACGCCCCCGGAGGCCATCAAGAGGCTCCCGAGAAGCCCCGTGATGCTCCCAAGAGGCCCTCCGGAAGCCCCAATAGGCCCCCAAGGGGCCCCCAGGGAAGCCCCCTGCGGGCCCCCAAGACACTTCGGTAAATCGTATTTCCCAGATAGCTTTCCAGGGACATGATTCCTTGGGCTTCCGCCCACCGCCCCAACCATGTTTCCAATAGGCTTGCCGACAAGGCCAAAAAGCGCCCCTCGGTGAGCCCCCAGACGCCCCCCTCTTAGAGAGCCGAACAAAGCATGCTCCCGGAAAGCTTCCTGGGAGCATGATTCTCTATCTCGGAGTAGGCCCGGGGAGGGGCGGGCCGCTGCTTGTTCCCCCCATCGGTGCCCACCAGGGGTTGCGGGGGGGGTCCAGAGCTCCCGAGGCGGCCCGAGCCCGCCCCGAAGCAGGCCACGACAGGCTAAGGGGGTCCCGAGAGGGCCCAAGACGGTCCCACGAGGCCCCGAAGATGCCTAAGCTGCCCTCAAGACAGCCGACGAGGACTCCAACACGCTCCAGGACGGACTCAAGAGGCTCCCCAAGAGGGCCCTGGGAGGCAAGATTCTCTCGTTTTTCTGAGTGTTTTGGATTTAGGCGTTCTCGCTTTTCCCGCATTCCAGCGCTCCCTTCACGACCTCGGAGACGCTTCAGATCGCTCCAAGAAGGCCCACGAGGCCCCGACGAGGGCCCCAAGACGGCCCAGGATGCTCCCAAGACAACCCAAGTATGCCCCAAGAGCGCGCCAAGAGAAGGGCCCAGAAGGGTCCCGAGGCGGCCCAGGCCCACCCCGAAGCAGGCCACGAAAGGCTAATCGAGGTCCCGAGAGGGCCCTAGACGGTCCCAAGAGGCTCCGAAGACGCCCAAGCTGCCCTCAAGACGGCCGACGAGGACTCCAACACTCTCCAGGACGGACTCAAGAGGCTCCCCAAGAGGGCCCTGGGAGGCAAGATTCACTAATTTTCCGATGGTTTTTCGAAGGATTTAGGCGTTCTCGCTTTCCCCGTTTCCCAGCGCTCCCTCACGGCCTCGCTCGGAGGCCCTGCAGATCGCTCCAGGACGGGCCACGAGGCCCCGAAGAGGACCCCAAGACGGCCCAGGAGGCGCCCCAGACAACCCAACTGGGCCCCAAGAGCTTCCCAAGAGAGGGCCCAAGGGGGACCGCCAACCGATATTTCGAGGTCTCTGGCCCTAGAGGCCGCCTATAGGCCCACGGAGGCCACCAAGAGGCTCCCACGAAGCCCCGTGAGGCGCCCAAGAGGCCCCCAGGAAGCCCCAAGACACCCCCAAGGCGCTCCCAGGGAACGCCCAAGAGGCCCCCCAACACACCCCAAGAAATCATGTCCCCAGAAAACCTTCCGGGGACACGGTTCATCATGGGCCCGAGAGTTCCCGGATGCCCCCAAGGGGCCCCCAGGGAACGCCCAAGAGGCCCCCCAACACACCCCAACAAACCATCTCCCCAGAAAGCCATCCGGGGACATGGTTCATCATGGGCCCGCGAGTCTCCGGAGGCTTCGAAGTACCATCATGCTACAGGAGAGTTGTTTGGGAAGTTCATTGGGAACATGACTGATCGCCTTCTCGCGGCCCTCCGCAGATCGTTTCGCACAACTTTGCCCCAAGTGCCCTCTTGAACCGACGACGACGACAAAACGACGAAGACGACGACGACGACGACGACGACGACGACGACGACGACGACGACGACGACGACGACGACGACGACGACGACGACGACGGCGGCGGCGGCGGCGGCGACGACGACGACGACGACGACGACGACGACGACGGCGCGCCCCAATAGGCGACGACGACATTTCGACGACGACGACGGCGACGACGACGACGACGACGACGACGACGGCACGCCCCAACAGGCTCCCCAAGACGCCCCCATACCCATGCTCCCAGAAGGCCTTCT